TTATGGATGCTAATCTGTTGCAGTAACCATCGTTATATAGAAGACGTTATGGACGCTAATCTGTTGCAGTAATCAGCGTTATATAGAAGACGTTATGGACGCTAATCTGTTGCAGTAACCAACGTTAAATAGAAGACGTTATGGATGCTAATCTGTTGCAGTAACCAACGTTATATAGAAGACGTTATGGATGCTAAACTGATGCAGTAACCATCGTTATATAGAAGACGTTATGGATGCCAATCTGTTGCAGTAACCGACGTTTCCTGACGTTATGGACGCTAATCTGTAGAATTCATTATCTTTTGATTTTTGCGATAGTAGAATGAGTAATATTTTTCTTTTTTTGAATGTCATCGACATGCTATGTCGAAGAGTTAGTATTTACGAAATGACAGGCCTAATTTATATTCATATTCAGTGAGTTAATCACAAATCATTATGAAAGTATATTATAATTAAAACGGGCCTACAGAAAACAAATTTCGGTCTTAAGGAAAAGCAAAATGTATCTACAGAAAAAGGCTTACGTCTCAGCGAAAGGCAGAAAGTTTCGGTCTTCCTCCGCACGTGACTCCGTGAAATAAAACCAGAACACAACCATTTTGAGCAGAAAGATATCGAACACCTTGGTTTGTTTTAAACTTCAGAAATTCAATACAGAGAAGACCACAAAGCAGCTATAAAATACACAGTAACACAAGAAATGACGACCAGTGTAAACAATACAGAGAAGACCACAGAGCTGCTATAAAATACACAGTAACACAAGAAATGACGACAAATGTAAACAATACAGAGAAGACCACAAACCAGCTATAAAATACACAGTAACACAAGAAATGACGACAAATGTAAACAATACAGAGAAGACCACAGAGCTGCTATAAAATACACAGTAACACAAGAAATGACGACAAATGTAAACAATACAGAGAAGACCACAGAGCTGCTATAAAATACACAGTAACACAAGAAATGACGACAAATGTAAACAATACAGAGAAGACCACAGAGCAGAAGTATATCAGTTGCTTTCGAGAACATGCCAGTCTTTCTCGAGACTCAGAACAAAGAAAATTCAATTTCTCTTGGGAAAACTGATTCCTTTATTCAATCGAAACGTCATCAGTATCGTGTCAGTTGTTTTGAATAATATTTTGGACAAACAGAAAGAATAAAATAGAAAGGAGAGAGAGAACACAGGATGGTCTGTTTATCAAGTTCCAAGTAATTTTAAATTTGCTTAAGCCTAACAAAGATATATAATATGTGATAACTACACGGTCTGTTGAAGCTCCCAACAAATCCTATGTTTCCTTCTTCCACTCGTGAGGCGTGATGACGATATGTGAAATGAACATGCTAGATACGTCGTTAAAAGTTCACCCGAGAGCCGTAATGGCGCTGGAATCACCCAATCTCTGCTTTCTTGCCAGTAGCTCAAAGACATCGACCGATTCCAAGGTGCATGATTTAAGTGTGTATTGAGTACGAAATAATTTACCAGCCTATCTTGTACGTGGGAATATAATTCATTTCTTTGTTTGTTTGTTTTGTTATGAGTTTCATGCAAAGCTACACGAGGGCTATCTGCACTAGCCGTCCCTAATTTAGCAGTGGAAGACTAGAGGGAAGACAAATAGTCATCACCACCCACCGCCAACTCTTGGGCCACTCTTTTACCAACGAATAGTGGGATTGACCGTCACATTATAACGCCCCCATAAGCTGAAAGGGCGAGCATGTTTGGTGTGACGGGGATTCGAACCCGCGACCCTCAGATTGCGAGTCGAGCGCCCTAACCATGCCGGGCTTGAGGTAAGGAAACCGAAATGTTAAGCTTGCTGTGTGGTTGGTGTGATCCGGTTGACTCGTTTCAGCGTGTATTGGCACAAAGAAAGTGAAACGTTCTGTATAACTGTTTTGAAGTAGCTGCTCATAAATACCAAGCGAAACGTCCAGTCTCACTTGGAAAGATGTAGTTACTACGTTACTAAGAATTCTGAGAAAGTTGCCGCCCGAACAAATCCTCTCATTTAACTAATGATAACAACGCCCTCTGCACTTTCTTATGCTTAATTTTTAAAATTATTGTTGTATTGTGATTAAAATACACTCTTTCAAGCCACAGCGTTAGAAAAGGAGATGCAGATTTTTTTTTTCCTTTCATATTAATTTGTATAAATATATCTTAGGTTTTCTTCTTGATCCCAGGGAATCATATCTGCCTTAAACATCCAACAACTGTTCAAATAACACTGAAATTATTTATCAGAGAAACATTTATATATATAAAAAAAAATCTGAATCATGAAAAGTAAATCTACTCATCAATCTTGGTTGTTTTTTTTTAAATCTATGTCAACATAATGGTTGCATTTTTCACTCTTAATAGCCTTTTTCAATGCATATCCATAACTTATTTCTTATCTATTAAAACAGAAGTGCAAAACGTAAGTAAAAGTATGGAATACTTCCTGTAAACGGAAGCACGAGTTCCTGATAATGGATATTAGAAGCCATTTTTCTCCTGGCACAGGTACAAAATTAGAAGGAAAACCTATAACCAAGAAATGTTCTTAATAATGCCCAGTGACGTGCAGAGTTTTTTCCTGTTTAGTAACATTCACGTAAATCTTTGTGTGTTGTGTGTGTGTTTATCTGAACACGACAGTCTTAAGCCTAATACCCGACGTCTCACCCACCTTCCTTTAGTACCGTCGTATAGGCACGGCTAGACACTATTACAGAAAGCCAGTTATTACTGTCAAAGCCAGATTAGACGAGTTCGACCGCGATATTCTATCTGTAATTCGACAAAAACTAAATACACCAAGCGAGGGATTTATATATATATATACATACAGGATTATGTGGACACACACGCGCACGTGCTTCCTTCGTTTCTCAAGACATTAAGAACAGTCCAAGATTTCCAAAGAAAACAAGAGTTTTGAATTATCTGGATCTTTATGAAAACATTGATTCGGTTTTGTTGGTGGCTTGCTTAATTTTTGTGCAATTTTCAATTTGAATTTATGAAAATTTAAAATGCTTCGTTGGATATCACGATAGTCAAAATCTATTTAAGTATAATAGTACTGTGTCTGTTGTTATGTCTATGTAACTAGTTCGCAGGGGTGTGGATGAATCTTCACCAAAACTGGTATGGAGGTTCATTAGGTCCACGTGGGGGTACATACAAAGTTTCAGTTTTGTGGCTGTTGTGAACATTTTTGCGTTTTTTTACTACTACTTCGCCCCCTGTAGATGGATCTTCACCAAATTTGGTATGAAGGTTTGTTGGGTCCATGAGGAGATACATACAAACTTGCGGTTTCACATTTTGTGTTTTATTGTTTTTTATGGTGTTTTTGCGTGTTTTTTTTTAAATTAAATATAAGGGAAGCAACTTTTCATGTCCTAAGATAACCTTTCATTAATCATGAATTTACATAACTTCTGTCCAGGGGACCGGTACCCCATCTAGTATATATTAAGTTTGTTTGTTAAAACTTCGCGAAGGCTACTCGCACTTAGAAATATTTATAATACACAACGAGTTTGGTTGTTTCTTTTTTTTTAATTTCGAACAAAGCTACACGAGGGCTATCTGCGCTAGCCGTTCCAAATTTAGCAGTGTAAGACTAGAAGGAAGGCAGCTAGTCATCAACACCCACCGCCAACTCTCGGGCTACTATTTTAACAACGAATAATGAGATTAACCGTCATGTTATAACTCCCCTACGGCTGAAAGGGCGAGCGTGTTCGGTAAAGGGATTTGAACCCGCGACCACCAGGTTATACGGCCGTAATAAATATTTATCGTACAGAAAGTCGAAATATTTATCACTGACAAATCCAGAAATATTTGCACGAATAAGTCCAGAAATAATCATGATAGAGATCTCTAGACATATTCATTAAAAAAGAAAAAGAGTAAACATAAAATACGTCATAAGTCATTAAATACGTCATTAAAGAAACACAAATCAGTGAAAAATACAATAAGAGCGGCAAGCCTAATTAATACGTATAAACAACAACGAGTCGTCTTTCTTATCCATCAGTACACTATTGTGTGTTTATTACCATCATACTGTGTTATAATGTGATTTCACATAACACATTATCATTCTTAATTAATACGTACTCGCTTTTCTTATATTTTTTAAAAGGAGGTTTGATTACTGTATACATGAGTTTTATCTTACGTCTATAGAAAAAAATGAACAAAAAAAACTGCCCACCGGCTTTCTTGGCTGCGTACATGTTAGCCTCCTCTTGTGCTTTACTAATGTTCTTCTTGTACCTGATTCGCTTGTTACCAAACCAATTAGAAATCTGTCGGGGATAAAAAAACAACAACAACAAAAAAACATCAACGTTAATATAAGAATCTTTTACACAGAATACTAGAAGTCTCTGCCAATCCGTGACTTAAATAAAGCATCTATCGATTGTCTTTTAATAACCAGAAGTGATCAATCCGATTAGTCCTTGGAAACATAATAATTGGACTAATTATAAAGAGCGGAAAGATTGATTCAATTATCGGATCTAATATCTCAAGTTCCGCCCTGAGCTACTACCCTTCTCCTAAATCAAATTACAAAAACTTTGAAAGTGACACAAAGAGGTTAGGTTTTCTCAGGGCCGTCTCCTATACAAATCGCAACATAAAATTCTGTTTGTTATTTTGATTATCGCTAACACGATTAACTGTTCATTAAAAAGTAAATATATATATATATATACAAATAATATATTATTCTAAATGCTATTATTTTCGATAAATTCTGTATTTTGCTTTCAACAGTTTATAATATTGATTGAGTTATTCAAACTAAGATCTTAATCATTTAAAAACCCGTCACCTCCATGAGCTGACTAAGGGATTACTTTTCGTAATCTTAGGCAAATATTAAAGCTGGATAAACATCATGACGTAGTTTTACTGATTCCCTTGTTTCATCATGTTGTACTTCTACTGGTTGACTTGTTTCATCATGTTGTACTTCTACTGGTTGACTTGTTTCATTATGTTATACTTCTACTGGTTGACTTGTTTCACCATATTGTACTTCTACTGGTTCACTTGTTTCATCATGTTGTACTTTTATTGGTTGACTTGTTTCATCATGTTATACTTCTACTGGTTGACTTGTTTCATCATGTTATACTTCTACTGGTTGACTTGTTTCATGTTATACTTCTATTGGTTGACTTGTTTCACCATGTTGTACTTCTACTGGTTGACTTGTTTCATCATGTTATACTTCTACTGGTTGACTTGTTTCATCATGTTATACTTCTACTGACTAACTTGTTTCATCATGTTGTACTTCTATTGGTTGACTTGTTTCATCATGTTGTATTTCTATTGGTTGACTTGTTTCATCATGATGTACTTCTACTGGTTAACTTGTTTCATCATGTTGTACTTCTATTGGTTGACTTGTTTCATCATGTTGTATTTCTATTGGTTGACTTGTTTCATCATGATGTACTTCTGTTGGTTGACTTGTTTCATCATGTTGTACTTCTATTGGTTGACTTGTTTCATCATGTTGTACTTCTATTGGTTAACTTGTTTCATCATGTTGTACTTCTACTGGTTGACTTGTTTCATCATGTTGTACTTCTATTGGTTGACTTGTTTCATCATGATGTACTTCTATTGGTTGACTTGTTTCATCATGATGTACTTCTGTTGGTTGACTTGTTTCATCATGTTGTACTTCTGTTGGTTGACTTGTTTCATCATGTTGTACTTCTG